ATCCACCTCACCGCTTCCACCCCTCCCCCACACTTCACGCCTTTTCTCACTAACTTGTCTGTCTTATGAGGGCTTCATACTTTAAGGCTTCCCTTTTCAAGCATTCTTGAGATCTAGTCATTTCTTGTTAGCGTAACAGGATCTAGATTTAAATTTAATTTCTTCAAGATTTACTTGTTAACTCATTTTATATTTCCTTTCCTTATTCTTCGTACGACTATTCTGATTCAAAACGCACATGCCCTTTTGAAATCTACGGGTCTTTGAAACAGTTTATACCCCAACCGCTCCTAGTTTGACCCATTCGCCCGGTTGCCTTAGCTGCTGCTGTGAGATCAAATAACCTTAAAAGTTGAATGGCCGTTTTCAATTTTCATAAAGAACATGTTAGCTGAGTAGGGCGATGGAATAAGACTTTTAGTTCGAAAACATCTTTACAGTACGCCCAAATGACGTTGCACCACATTCAAGAGGACTCGTATTCGAATCGACGACGACGACTACGCGTAGTATGCAGAAGGATAGTCCTCCTTTGTAAGCAGCCAACTGTTTTGTCATTTCAGATTTAAGTAAGTGTATCACAAACTTCCTTGTTACTCCGCACCTATTTAGCCTGTTAGAAAAAAAAAAGAAAGAAAACAAAAACCGAAAAAATTAAGTTGGCACCAAGCGGAGAAAGAACGAATGATCTAAGCAGTAAACATATTACAGTTTGATTATAAATAGATTAGGCGGATTTGCCAAAGAGGTTTCGTTATGAGAGTAAACAACCGAGTGATTCTTGCCAGTCATCTGATCTGACGTGTCCTATACCAAGACTTAATATTATGATATTAATTGTGCAACTTACCAACACTGTAAGAGCTAGCAGGCTTAGATTAAACAAAAACGAATATAAAGTGACGAAATCAGGTGTGAGTTTGTGTATATTATAGTAAAAATGATTTATTGAATAGAGTCAGGATAACATTTCTTAGTAAACCACGAACGTGGTATGAATGTATGTTTTCGTATTATATATTATACGCTAGCACTGTTATTGGATCTTGAGAGACCAAAGACTTGTCCAAAAGAATCCTGAAATGATTCTGATTGAACTACTTAGGTGAAGTTTACAAATACGCATTATGCACTCACATTGTGTTTCATAACGTGGTCCACGCACAAACACACATACACGCAAACATTACCATACATAATATAAATATTATTAATACATGTACTTGCGCTCACAAACACATGCACATACTCTCAATACTCACACACATACACATACACACACACACTCACACACTCACACACACGCACGTACACAGACACACACGCGC